GAAGATTGGGATAGTAAGAATCATCAAATCATCACTTGGTTTCGTAACACGTCTATTTCCTCAATTCATCAACAATTTGGTCGTTATGAGACAGCTAAAGACGTTTGGGATATGCTTGCCACTCGTTATGTCACTACTAGCTTATCTCATCAGTATCATCTATTCACTGATCTGCATCAACTCAAGCAAGCGCCTGGTCAGTCCATCACGGAGTTTCATAATCAAATGCAAATTATCTGGGACCAACTCGCAGAATGTGAACCAAAATGGGAGACCCCTAATGATGAAGAAAAATATACTATCATGCGGGACCAATTTCGTCTGATCCAGTTTCTTCAAGCTCTTCAGCCTACATACGAAGCAACTCGAGCTTCCCTTCTTAGTCGTACTCCGCTGCCTACTCTCGATCTTGCTCTCCAACAACTTAATTCTGAAGAGATCCGTTTGAGTACTATGTCCGCTATCCCTACGGTGTTTGGAACTGACATTGCTGCAGCAGTTCAACCACCTCGTTCTCCCATCACTTGCTATTCGTGTCATAAGACTGGTCACATAGCATCCAAGTGCCCCAACCCAGTTCCAGATTCGACGCAATATTCATCTGTCAAATGCAACTATTGTCATGCAATTGGTCATACCATTGACAAATGTCGTAGGAGACAACGGGTAAACTCTCGGCAGCCTTATCAACCAAATAAGTCTTCTGTTGCTGCTGTCACTGAAGGGTCATCAAGTGTCTCTCATGTCTCTGAACCTTCCATATCACTCTGTGAATTTCAAAACCTTTTATCCCAACTAAAGTCTGGTAATTACTCTAGTGCCCTTTCTGCAACTACAGGTACGTCTAAATGGTTATTTGATTCTGGTTGTTGCAATCATATGACCTCTGATTCAAATTGCTTATCTTCTCTTACCACTCCTACACCTGCACCTATAATCCACACTGCTGATGGTTCTTGTATGCAAGTCAATAATGTTGGGCATGTATCTACACCATCTCTTACTCTACCCCATACTTATTACATTCCAAACCTTACCCTTAACCTTATTTCTGTGGGTCAATTGTGTGATCTTGGATTTGACTTGCATTTTTCTCTATCTGGTTGTGTTGTGCAGGATCCAAAGACGGGGAAAACAATTGGGATAGGCCATAAGAGAGGTCGAATGTTTGAATTGGTGTCTCTGCATCTACCGTCTGGATATCTTAGTTCCCAGGTTGCCGCAACTACTTCTCCTACTGTTTCTCTTTCTCCCTTTGAGTTGTGGCATCATAGATTAGGTCATGCTTCTTCAAGTGTTCTTACTTCATTAGTCAATAGCGGTCAATTAGGGTCCATCAAGTCATCCACTTTAAAGTGTATTTCATGTCAACTGGCCAAACAACCAGCATTATCTTTCAATAAAAGTTCTCATGTTTCTACTGCCCCTTTTGATTTAGTTCACTCAGATATTTGGGGTCCATCACCAACCGCTACTATGGGTGGATCCAAATACTTTGTCATTTTTATTGACGATTTTTCTCGATATACATGGATATACTTATTCCATAATCGTTCTGAACTCACCTCTATCTATAAGACTTTTGCCAAAATGGTTCAAACTCAATTCTCAAAAGTCATTAAGGTTTTTCAAACGGATAATGCCATGGAATATCGTGATTCACATCTATATGATATTTTTCATTCTGATGGGACTCTAGTTCAAAGATCTTGCCCATGCACTCATCAACAAAATGGAAAAGCCGAACGAAAACACCGTCATATTCTAAATTCTACTCGCTCTTTAATTCTTTCAGCCTCTTGTCCTGAATCACTCTGGGGTGAAGCTGCTCTTACAGTCGTGTACACCATAAACCGTGTCCCTTCACCTGTAATTGAAAATGAGACACCTTATTCTCGTCTTCATGGGCAATCTCCTGATTATTCAACTCTTAAAGTGTTTGGGTGTGCTTGCTTTGTTCTTCTTCAACCCCATGAGCATAATAAACTTGAACCTAGGGCTCGATTATGTTGTTTTCTGGGATATGGTATTGAACATAAAGGTTATCGTTGTTGGGATCCAATTTCCAATCGTCTTCGTATTTCTCGTCATGTTGTCTTCTGGGAAGACACAATGTTTGCATCTGTGTCTAAGTTTAGAATGTCACACTCTACTCCTTTTTTCACGAATCCTTCTTGTGAACTTTTTCCATCCGAAACAGAATCCGTTAATTCTCAATCACCCTTAACTTCGGATCCTTCGGTTCTTGTTGAGACATCAAGTACTTCGACCACTGCGGATGTGCCTATTTCATCTGGTTCTACCCCTACTGAGGATCCTGTCAATGAAACTGATCCTAGTATTTCTGAGGAATCTGTTCGTCGTTCAACTCGGGTAAGACATATACCCTCTCATTTACGTGATTTTCATTGTTTTTCTGCCATTCTTTCTCTTCATGAACCTCAATCCTATCGAGAGGCACAAACTGACCCTCAGTGGCAACAAGCAATATCTGATGAACTTGATGCGTTGCATAAGACTGAAACTTGGGATCTAGTTGATCTTCCGAAGGGTAAGACTCCTATTGGTTGCAAATGGATTTTTAAAGTTAAAACCCGTTCTGACGGGTCTATTGAACGTTATAAAGCTCGTTTGGTTGCCAAAGGTTTCAACCAAGAATACGGTGTTGATTATGAGGAAACATTTGCTCATGTTGCTCGATTACCCACTGTTCGCAGTCTCATTGCCATATCTGCTATTCGGAAATGGTCTTTATTTCAGATGGACGTCAAAAATGCTTTCCTTCATGGTGATCTGCAAGAAGAGGTGTATATGAAACCTCCTCCTGGATACCCTCATACTTCTGGACAGGTGTGTCGCCTTCGAAGGGCATTGTATGGTCTGAAACAAGCACCCCGTGCTTGGTTTGAGAAATTCAGTAGCACGATCACCCAGCTTGGCTTCACTAGTAGCTCTTATGACTCGGCACTTTTCATTCGTAAAGTTGATACAGGAGTTATTTTTCTACTGCTTTATGTTGATGATATGATCATTACTGGTGATGATCTTACAGGCATTGAGTCTCTCAAACAGTCTATTCATCATCATTTTGAAATGAAGGATCTTGGAACTCTCAGTTATTTTTTGGGGCTTGAGATCACCACTGCTTCTGATGGTTACTATCTTTCTCAAGCTAAGTATGCTGCTGATCTTCTCTCCCGCGCAGGAATTACAGATACCAAGATTGCTTCCACTCCTCTAGAGATGAATACTCGACTTACTCCTAGGGATGGAACTCTACTTGCTGATGCTACTCTCTACCGACAGTTGGTTGGAAGTCTCATTTATCTCACTGTTACTCGTCCTGACATCGCTTACGCTGTTCATCATGTTAGTCAGTTTATGGCGGCTCCACGATCTACTCATTTCTCCGCCGTTCTTCATATACTTCGCTACGTAAAAGGTACTATGTTTCATGGTCTTCATTTCTCAGCTCAGTCCTCGCTGACGTTGTCTGCTTATTCTGATGCTGACTGGGCTGGTGATCCTACCGATCGACGATCCATCACTGGTTATTGTTTTTTTCTTGGAGATTCTTTGATCTCTTGGCGCAGTAAGAAACAATCTATTGTCTCTCGTTCTAGTACTGAATCTGAGTATCGAGCATTAGCAGACACTACTTCAGAGTTACTATGGCTTCGGTGGTTGCTTACTGACATGGGTGTATCACACCAAAGTGCAACAATTATTCATTGTGACAATCAAAGTGCTATTCAGATTGCTCACAACGATGTTTTCCATGAGCGAACCAAACATATTGAGAATGATTGTCACTTTATTCGCCATCATTTGATACACAATACTCTTCGCCTTCAGTACATTACGTCCGCTGCCCAAACTGCTGACATTTTCACCAAAGTGCACCCACCAAGTCGATTCAACACACTCGTTTCCAAACTCAATTTGGTCTCTGTTGACCCAACTTGAGTTTGAGGGGGGATGTTAATATATATTATATCATATATATGATATCATATATATTATATCCATTATTATGGGATTTGATTAGATATGTTAATATTCTATATCCATAATTTAGGGATTTGATTTGATTAGGTTTCCTTGTATAGCTTGTTATTTTGTGTATATATACCCTCACCTCTATTGAGAAGAATACACATTATTTTCATCTCAATTCTTTTCGTAACAGTTTAATTGTGTAAAAAAACTATAAAACAATAAATTAATTACAACAACTTTAATAATTCAAATACACGGGTTATGGAATGAGAGAATGGACGATGGGTTGCAGTTCATTTCTAAAATACGGGACCCATAAGAAAGAGAATTTATTTAGTAATTTTGTCCACGTGGCATCAATTGAATGGAGCCCGTTTTATTGCAGTTAACGGGGCATCCGTTCAGAATTTGTTCCCTAAAAGGAAATACATGTTGGGTAAAGAAACGTACCGTATAGAATGTAATGATATCGTTGAAAGGCAATTAAGGCTAGCTAACATAACATGCAGTCTTGGTTTAAAGAGAAGGAGCATTCAACGTACGAGATATGCATATGTTCCATTAATTACTTGATCAAATTAACTAGACAAATATGAAACACCACTCATCAAGAATATTTATTAGAGGATCATATATATCATGATATATAGGTTTTCACAAGGTACAATCAATAATGTTTTTTTTTTTCTTTGTGGTATGATATATTCAGAAAAAGAAAAGGGAAAAACAGAGGACAGAGCTGCATTATTAATAGATAGACAGCATAATATTCTGTTATTGCTATCATCCATATATACCACAATTGTGATGACCGGCACTAGTATTCTTTAATTCTCTTGTTACCCTCACTACTGCACGCCACAGACTAACCTTTCACCCATCAGATAATTAACACTACTAATTAATTAAGCTGTGCAGACGACGACCATTGATTATTTTTTTCTGTATATTTATTCTCTCTGTACTCTTATAAGGAATTAAAGTACCACTAGCTAGCTAATATCATATCATATATGATATATAGCCAGCAAAAAACAAAAGAGAAAAAGAAAAGATGATAGGAAGGGAAGATGTGTATAAGGTGGTGGTGGGAATTGCACCACTGTACGTAGCGCTGATGTTAGGATACAGTTCGGTGAAATGGTGTAGGATGTTCAGTCCAGAGCAGTGTGAAGCAATAAACAGGCTAGTATGCTACTTCACATATCCATTGTTTGTATTTGAGTTCACAGCACACGTGGACCCTTTCAAGATGAACTATTTAATGATGGGTGCTGATGTGATATCGAAAGTAATAATAGTGATGGTGCTGGGATGCTGGGCCAAGTGCTGCAAAGGGAGCTACTGCTGGTCAATAACGAGTTTCTCTCTATCCACACTGACCAATTCACTTGTGGTTGGTGTCCCCCTTTTGAAGGCAATGTATGGACCCATGGCCGTCGACCTTGTCGTTCAGTCCTCCGTCTTTCAGGCACTTGTTTGGCTCTCCATACTCTTGTTCGTCTTGGAACTCAGGCGCACATATCATGATCATGTTGCTGCTGCTGATCTTGAAAACCAGAGCAGCGGTGTTATTGCGGATGCCTCTAGGATTAATTTCTGGAATTTGATGAGACGTGTTTCCCTCAAACTCGCTATTAATCCAAACTCATATGCATGTATACTTGGTATCACCTGGGCATTCTTATCTAATAGGTATTATATTACGTACGTATAATTATTAATTAGCTAGGTATTCTTATCGAGAAATTTATATATATACAACAATATCTGAATTTATCAATTATATATATTACTAATAATTATTTAGGTGGCACTTTGAAATGCCAAGCGTGATGGAAGGATCTATTCTCATCATGTCAAGAGCTGGCACTGGCACTACCATGTTTAGCATGGGTGAGTAGTTTGTTTACTATCTGCATAACCACCCTGATCTTGGTCTGGTTATTCTCATATAGTTAGTTAGTTAGTTAGTTAAATTATTTATTTATATACAAATTATTGTATGCATGTGATCATGTTATGAATTACGATGGATGTGAAGGATTGTTCATGGCATTGCAAGAGAAAGTGATAGCATGTGGAGCAAGTCTGACTGTATTTGGGATGGCCTTAAGATTTATTGCTGGCCCTCTTGCCATGGCTTTGGCTTCCTTTGCTGTCGGTTTGCATGGCGATGTCTTACGCATAGCTATTATCCAGGTAATAATTATTAATTAATATGAATCTAGCTAAAACACATATAATTATATATAATTAGATCATATGGTCTTGACGGGAGGAGATCGATATATAACGGTGCATGCATGCAGGCAGCATTACCACAATCGATCACGTCCTTCATCTTTGCCAAAGAATATGGATTGCATGCAGATGTTCTCAGCACTGCGTCAGTACTCCCTCCCTTCCTAGCTACGGCCTCTAATTAATATATATATTATTAACCAGTAATTAAGTAGTAACAATAAGTACTAATTGATCATTATATTTTTCCCTTTATTTATTTATATATTTATCTGCATGCATGCAGGGTTATCTTCGGCATGATTGTGTCTCTTCCGGTGTTGATTGCTTATTACGCAATTCTCGAATTTGTACACTGACAAGTGACACCCTACACCATGATAAATCAAATTTATATGCATCTCTTCAAGTTTAAGTATATTGTTTCTAATTCGGTCGTTTTATAATCAATAATTATGATTATTATTAATATAAATACTAATTATATATCATTGGCACTCTTGCACTCACCCATTTGCCGTTGTTTATATATGTTGCTAGCTCTTTGATCCAAATTATATTAGACATCCTTAAAATTAATGGTTACCTTTATCATATTCAACGATCACAAAGAGATCAACGTAACGCAGTTAAATATAATACGAATATATATATATATATATACAATCTTTATGTACAGACATTAGGAATATATATTTAGTCCTCACACCATGATGAGAAACATAAAGAATAAATAAATGCCAACTTTTCTTCCAGAGGTATGAATTATACTTTCTTCTTCCCATATATCTAATATTCTTTCTTGTTGGATAAATGACTTTTTCTTCTCCCACATAAAATTGATTTAGCTAGTGGAGAATAACTATATATATATGTATGTATAGTCAAGACTAATCAAGAAAGCTGGCGAGTGGGATCGGATGATTTGTTTGGTGTATATATATATATATAGAAACCATCATTGCAGCACGCACATGGTATGCATATAAAAGGGAAGCTACTAATTAAACTATGTATGTTAGAGGGTTTGAGCATGCATATGGTAATGGACTAATGGTATACATATGTACTTTCATTAATTAATTAATTAACTAATTAATTCCCATGCATCATGTAATTATATTTCGTTTTACATATAGACTGCTATTAACGCCGCTAGTTTGTTGAGCATGAATATGGTATTGGTTTACATATAATATAGTAAAGTTTTGTTAATTAATTAAATATTGAAAAGGATATAGTTTAGTGGGATTCTTGTGAGAAAGAAATAATAATGTTGATTAATATTGGAGTTCCTTCCAACAAGGAGCTAGATAATTATTAGATGATCTGAGTAGATATATTATAGATGGTAATTGGTAAAGCTAAAATGGTAAAGTGACAAAGCTGAGAAACACCACCAACACCAACCGATGTAATTAGTGGAAGATCTACGTCAATATTAATATATATTTAAATTAGTTCCATTCTTTTCCACTAATATACACTTCTCCCCACTAGCTAATATAATTAATTACTATATGCAGTTGAAATGATCAAAGCTAAGCATGCATGCATTCTTAGTTGAATCTTTAATTAGGGTATTATATTTGACAAAAAGTTCTTCGTTATAATTAATTCGAGAGCTAGATTCTTCATTCGATTTAGGATGAATTCAATTGAAATTTATTAATACCCTATTTTTCCTTTTCCCTTAAAATTAAAAACAACTTATTTTCTTTTTTGTAGTAATTAAAGGTTTTCTAAAATAATTGTTGGGTAAACGAGAATTGAATGAAAGAGTTTTCATTATAAATTGTTTAAAAATATTATGTGAATTAATTAATAAAAAAAATGGCAAAATATGTGAATTAATCATGACACGCTGAGATGCAAATGTGAATGTGATGACATGATCTATATATAAATTTAATTAATTAATCATAAACTGGTACAGACAAAAGAAACTCTCGAGTATGCATTCTGTGTCACGTCCCAGATAGGATGACAGTATTGTACGAGAATCATATTATTCTTTCCGCTTTTATCTTTTGTTGTTGTTGTGTGTGTGTATATATATATATATATATAGTGGTACGTACGGTGTCATCGATCGATTATAAATAGCTAGCGGTGTCACTAATAATAATAATACACAAATACATAAATAAGATTTAAGAGAGAAATAAAAAAATAATTAAGAAGAAGAAGATGATCGCATGGGGAGATATTTACAAAGTAGTGGCGGCAATGGTGCCGCTGTACGTGGCACTGGTATTGGGGTATGGGTCGGTGAAATGGTGGAGGATGTTCAAGCCTGACCATTGCGACGCCATTAACAGATTTAATTGCTATTTTATAATACCTTTCTTCACGTTCAGGTTCACAGCCGGAGTGGATCCCTACCACATGAACTTTAGGTTCCTGGCCGGAGATGTGATAGCGAAAGGGGTGGTGGGTGTAGCACTAGCACTGTGGGCTAACCTATGCAGAGAAGGGAAGTTGTCGTGGGCAGTGACGTCATTCTCACTGTCTAGCCTCAACAACACTCTGGTGGTCGGTGTGCCGTTGCTCAAGGCCATGTACGGTGCTCTAGGTGAGGATCTGGTCGTGCAATCCTCCGTCATCCAGTCCCTACTATGGTTTCCTACTCTCCTTTTCATGCTCGATTTCTGGCGCATAAACAACAATGATGCTGATGGTGATAGTGATGATCATCAGCAGCAGCCCGGTCAGACGACGCATGAGGTGCAGCTTTGTTCCATTGAAATAACAGATGCTAATTATAATAATACTACTACTAGTACTAGTGCTAATAAACATGAAGATGCTAATGGTGTTAATACGAGAATATCATCATCATCATCATCATCGTCGTCATCCAACAATTTCAGAATAACAATCAAGAAAGTTTTGGCAAAACTTGCAAAGAACCCAAATTTGTATGCTTGTGCCATTGGCCTCATTTGGGCTCTACTAGCTAAAAGGTACGTACCTTACCTACGTAATAATAATAATAATAATAATATTCCTTTGATGTACATATATATATTTATGCATTCACTAAGAATAATTAACTTTTCCGTACGCATAATATATAATAGGTGGGATTTAGAAATGCCGAGTGTAGTGGAAGGATCAATTCTGATAATGGCCAAGGCAGGAAGTGGAGTAGCCATGTTTTCAATGGGTAATTTATATATATTTCAATTCATGAGATTATGTATATACTATATAATATTGGTGCTGATCAATATGTATATATATAGGATTGTTCATGGCACTGCAAGAGAAGATGATAGCATGTGGGGTAAGGTTGACAGTGTACGGAATGGTTCTAAGGTTTATTGGTGGACCAGTTACCACTCTTGTCGGCTGTCTGGCTTTAGGCATCCGCTCCAGAACCCTTCATATTGCTATTATCCAGGTCTTTTTTCTCATCTACTTGATATATTTATATACATACATGATGATGAAAATGCTAATCATCATCAATCGCTCGATGGATCAGGCAGCTCTACCACAAGCAATTACGTCCTTTGTGTTTGCTCAAGAGTATGGCTTGCACGCTACTGTACTCAGCACTGCGTAAGTCCCATCCCTTACCAACTCTCTCTATATATATTAATCAGTGTCTGTCTAGTCCAGCATCATTCTATCTCTCTCTCTATATATTAATCAGTTAGTCCAGCATCTTTCTATTATCTAATACTAATTAACTGATAAAAAACGGATCGACCTGCTGTTAATTTGATTGCTCAATTTTGATCTACTGCAGGGTCATTTTCGGCACTATTGTGTCCCTTCCCCTCTTGATCTCATACTACGTTGCCTTGGATGCCTTCCGTTAATATTCTCTTCAAATTAATTCTGCTCGTCTCTATCGAAATATATTAACTTAGTATGTGCCTCTCCTGTACTAGTTTAATTAAGAATATATAATCTCTTGGAATTAAATTTGTATTGATCATTTAGTCCTAGTTGTTGGCTGTTCTTTTTAAACATTTAGGGACCTCAAGAGAAGGTATATATACCAAGAACATATTCAATATGTGTGCATGATCAAAAGAATAATAAATGTAACATTTCTTCCACCAGAATATACAAAAGCAATTGTGGGCAGCTAATGGACTAACTTATGGAGAAAAGGGAAACTTTAATCATTTGTATCCCTTGCGAGTAGAGTCTTTTGGGATTTCAAATCAGTGATAACAAGGAACTTCAAAATTGTGAGTGATTGAGTCATTTGACAAGGAATTTCGAATCCCTAGCTCTCATTTTTTGAGTAACCGTCCCATTTGGAGTCATTTCAAATCCCAAACGCACCCTTAAATTAACTTCATTTCTGCATCCTCTAGTTTCATATATTCCCAATTACTATACAGCAAGAATTTCATACATTACACTTCACTATTAAGACCATAACAGTAGTAAAAACTTACCCCGGTCAGCAAGTCTCTGTTCATCTACCAGGGCCCTGAATCAGCAAGGTCGTTCAGAGTTGAATCAGCCGTCCAAAACTCCTCTTCATCTTCGCTTTCATCGTCATCAACATCAACATCATCTTTAGAACTAGCATCGTCCACCTGGAATAAATCATCTAATCCATCTTCGCATTCATCACAATACTCGTCAACTAATTGATGCTCAAAATTTTGGTTGACATCACCGTTGACATATTCTTTGATCCTCTCTCTTCGCAACCTCTTCCCTTCTCTAACTAGTTCCATCAGCTCATCTTTTACCAAAGATATTGCATCCTTGTCCACAAGTCCACCCTTGTCGTTGTATCCCTCCACCAGAAACACAGAGTCCCTTTCCCCTTTCAAGCTCACATAGAACATCTCAGGGTGCCTCACCAACATTCCTCTCAGCTTATTCGGCAACCCAAACTCCTTCCTAAAATGCGTCAAATGGTCCACCAAAGTTCTCTTCTCCACCGTCATCCCCAAAACCTCCCTCACCACACCACAAGCTCTCTTCTCAGCCTCAATCGACACTTTCACCAAATCATCCACATTCGTATTGTATGGGCACACATCTGGGACTTCCCTGAACTTTATGAGATATTCATGATGGTGCCTTTTTATATTTAAACCCTTACGCAGTCTTAGGTGTTTGAACTTCGGGGGCCTGTCCACTATCAGTCCATGAGATTTATCTACATCGCGTAATGGTAAGGCCTTAGCCAAATCCGAATCCCACGTGACGAGCTGAAGAGCACGTCCGTAAGAAGTGTCGACAACTTTAAATTTATCCGGATGATCATTGCAAAGGAGGGAGCGGAAGTTAACAGGAAGGCCAAGATCAGGACCCAAATGCACGAGCTTGGACAACAAAAGCCTGTGATACGGGGAGGCAAGCATCAAGAGCTTTTGGAGTTTTGCAGCCAGTGAAATGGACATACATTTCTTGAGATCGATTTCCTTTTTGGCGAGGGCTGCAGCAGCAGGTGTGAGACGGACACAGAGTTGAGTGAGCGATCCAGTGGCGTGGAAGGGTGTCGGAGGGGTTGGAATAGTGAAGAGCTCGAAAATAGTGGGGTAACGACGGATCATTAGTAAGATAGAGCGGGGTTTGTGTAAGGATAAGTAAGAGCGGCATTTGTAGAGAACTTGAATGTGCATGAAGTGTTGTGGCTTGGAAAGAAGGAGAGTTTTGAGCTTCTGTACAAAGCGTATCTTGTTTTGTTTCACAACATGCTTATCTAATCTCCGATCACGGACAATTTTGTGAGGAGATGAAGAAGAGCACGTAATTACAGCAAATGCCCCAAGTTTTCTTGTATTAGTACTGATACTAAATATGTGTTTGGGCAGAGGACGGAGAAAACGGGATTCAAGCAAAACAGGTGGTGCATCAATATGGGTTGGAGTGGAAATGAGTGGAGCTAATGCTATTGACATTTAATCAAACAGCTGGTGTGCAATCAGGAGAGACCCTCGAACTAAGAATTCTTCGAATTAACGAATGAAGCAAGCAAGCATAAAATATTATGGATCATCAAATAATTTGATATCTGATGGCAAATTCAAAAAATAATTGCGGTAAGTTACTGTCTATACTGCCCACAAGATTGGATTTTTGGATTCAAAGTATTCAGGATGAAAATGCCCACAAGATTGAATTTTTGAACAGAAATAATCATTCCATACACGATTTAAGAAAGTCGCTGGGACTCGGTTGCGGCTTCTGATGAGGCCAATTACAAATGTCTAAATTGCCCCGATGAAGAAAAAAAAATCGAACTGTAAATTACAAACAAAAGTGTGTTTAAATTGCAAAAAGTCCTCTCTTGTTTGCTAAATTATACTCGTCCCTCGAACTTTGTAAAAAAACAAAAAAAACCCGTAAAAAAAATTATTCTTTTTAATCGTTCAAGACGTAACAATATTTTTTAATAAAAAAGGAAAAGAAAAGAAAAGAAAATAACTAGTCTTAATTGGCCGTTAATAGTGGGGACACAGGCACAGCATTTTCTTCCGTTAGTGGCCGTCTTCTTCGGTTCTCTCTCTCTGACATGTCTCTTTCTTTATGTGCGGTTGGTTGGCGGGGAATATATGCATTCAGCATTATTATTTTTACTAGTTGATAGATTAGACTAGATTAGATAGATGATAATCATCCATTTTCTGTACAGTTACTTGTTTGATCATAAACGCAATCATACATAAATAAATCAAATATGTATAGTCATTAATAGAACAACACATGAGATCGATATATATACTATATATAGATTGATGATATATGGATCATGGAGGATGCATTATTAATAATGAATTTGTGATCTTCCATACATGTAACTTGGTTTTCCTTCGGGAGATGGCGCGCTCCTCCTCCTCCTCCTCCTCCTCCTCTAACTTTGTAAGTCTTCCTAAATAATGAACAATTGAACATCTGCACATTTCACCTCTTTCTATTGTGAATTTCTTGGATACATTACATTACATGGTACGGTGTTTAATTAGGTCATAATATATATATATATATATATATATATATATATATATGATCCTGACTACAATATATATTGATGTCCCGTTGAACGTTGTTCTTGTCAGACGTCAATATTCAGAGATCAGAAAGGGTGGAGAACATGTTTCCGTAGCAATTTCTTTTATGCAGCTTCTTTATTCTTTCTAGCATTCTTTATATGGAGCACAACCATAACACAGCAAAATAAAGAGGTTCTTGTAATATAATAGCAAACAAAATATTTGGATTTTCAATAATTCCCATTGTTTAGGACTACTTAGGAATTGTTTTTCTATGACTAACTCTTATACATTTTGTGTAGAAATTGTTGAAGTGGAGTTTACAAGGGAATATCTCCAACCTTACGACATGTGAGGTATGGTGCTTTCAAACTATTAATGGGAATAACAATAATAGTGAGTTGTTCGTTCTGCTTTCAGATTAATGATTATATGTATAAATTGTAAGCATGGCATGCATGCAGTGATCAAGTATTTAATTAGAATTGGTATTATCCTCCTTTGTAGATTAATGAATGCAGGCCACCTGGAAGTGAGATGTTGCCTAAAGGTATAGTTGCGAGTACCTCTAACTTGGAAAGACGACCTTTATGGGGTTCTCCAAAGGTACCATTATTGAGAGAAATATAGCATTTTAACGTAACTCTGAGCCATCAAAGTTGATCAAAGGCATAATAAATTCATCAGTCGATCAGGTCGTAAGTATTATTGATGACTTTATAAATGTGCAAGCATGCAGAAGACAAATACCTCAAAGAGCTTATTTGCTGTTGCTGTTGGAATAAAGCAAAAGGAAAATGTAGATAAGATGGTTCAGAAGGTACAGATTGATTTTCTTTTTTTCTTTTTTCTTTTTGAAAGGCCAGCAATATATAACTCTCATTTGTGCATGCATGCATGGCTTACTACCTTAAACTGCAGTTCCTAGAAAACAATTTTGTAGTGATGCTTTTCCACTACGATGGCATTGTTGATGAGTGGAAGGATTTTGAATGGAGTAGCAGTGTCATACATGTATCTGCCGATAATCAGACTAAATGGTATTAATTAGTAATTAACATATATACTTGTCTTACTTTGGTGATTAATTATATTGATTTACTCAGCAGGTAGCTAGCAAGCACATACTAACTAATTATTATTAATACTAACTACAATGTGTGATGATTAGGTGGTTTGCAAAGAGATTCTTACATCCAGATATTGTAGAAGAGTACGATTATATATTCTTGTGGGATGAAGACCTTGGTGTTGACAACTTCCACCCTCAAAGGTATGATTTTTGAATTATTATTATTATTATTACTAATTACTAATTAAATGAGTAATTTCCATATAATCTGTGTGAGTGTAGATATGTATCAATAGTGAAAGAAGAAGGGTTTGAGATATCGCAACCAGCACTGGAAATAGGACTATCTGAAGTACATCATCTTATCACAGCACGATGGAAGAGATCAAAGGTGCACAGGTGAGTCGATGGTGGCGATTTAATGTATATTGTAAGAAATACTAGCTAGCTATATTTTAGTAACTAGAATTATTATTCACATTGCAGGAGGACTTACAAACGTGATGGTAAAGGGATTCAATGCGATGATAAGAGCTCTGCTCCTCCTTGCACAGGGTATTTGGTTTTACTAATGATATAATTAATGGATGGATAAGTAATAAGTATATCTATTTTGAAGGTGGATAGAAGTTATGGCCCCTGTATTCTCCAAGGCTGCATGGCGTTGCGTTTGGTATATGATCCAGGTACTCCTACTACTACTATTGATAGCTAATAGGTAGTAGATATATCCTTGTTTGGTTCGTTCGTTTTCAGACAAACAGAAATTACAAACTTGTTTCTCTCTTACAGAATGATTTGATCCATGCTTGGGGACTGGACATTCGGCTTGGTTATTGTGCACAGGCATAATTCATTCCTTATAATATTAAATGCTACCTTCTCCTTTCTTTGTAATAATATATATTTTAATCATAGGGAGATCGAACAAAGAGTATAGGAGTCGTGGATGCGGAATACATTGTTCACTATGGCCTCCCCACACTGGGCGAACCTGATAAGGTAGCTAGCTGCTGCATCTTATGATTAATGCCAAGTGATATTATTTCACATTGATATTCTTGAGTTGTAATTAATGCCAAGTGATGCAGGCCAAATTAGCATCAACTGGAGATAATTCAGAAGAAAACAAGGTGCTAAGCAAGTTTAATTTGTTTTTCAATCTTCACGAACATGCATTTTACACACAATATATGCAAAGAGAAATGGAGAGAGAGAGAGAGAGATATGGTGATCAATTTGTCTCACTTAAGTTTTATATAATCTTGTTGATTTTCAGGAAGCATCCAAGTCAAATGCAATCAACAAAAGAATTGAAGTAAGCTGAAAAAAAATAGAGGATTTATATATATATGAATGAAAAATAGGGATGATTAATGAAGTAGCTAATGAAAAAATGATAGGTTCGAAGACAGTCGTATAATGAGTACAAAGTATTCAAAAGGCGGTGGAAGAAAGCTGGGGAGACGGACGAGTGCTGGACTGATTTATATCCAGACGAGCTACTCAAGGAGGGCTCTTCCATTTGGCCTCTCATGTGACTTCTTTTCATATTCATGTTGCACATAAATTCACATTTGTATACTACTAATTAATAATCACACTTCAATTTTCCATTTTCTCTCTTCATTTTGTGTTTTTTTGCATTTCAAGTGCATTGCTTGGTTTCATACGCAGTTTTTTTTTTTAAATTTAAATATATTCTTTGCAAATTACTCCTGTAGGTGTGTACTGTGGACTTAATAATCACAATTCACAACTACCATCCACCTTGAAATTCTTGTCATAACATAAATAATTAGCCAGTTGCCTAGAAATAAAAAATAATAATAATGAAGGGCTTATTTCATCTACTAAATTAATTTTGTATTTATTTGTTTAAAGAGTGTGTAGTACCCACAGACATTAATGTTTTTGAATTTTGACAACCCTTCAACTTCTAATACAGCTAGCTGTAGGGGTGGGGTATCATTTTACATTACATAGGTCAAACATAGATAGATAGGACCATGCATCCACCCCTCAATTATCCTCCTAACTTAATAAACTCATAGAAAATAAATAAATAAATATTATTATTATGCTCACCTTTCACATTCTCTAATTATGCTGCCTGCTATATTCATCAAAAAATATCAAATTGCAATTGCTAAGAAACCAGCTGATGCAGCAACAACAACAACATCTATATAATAATAGTAATAATAATAATAATAATCAATAGAGAAAGACTGTTTCTTGATATTAAAAAATGAATCAAAAGGACATTATCTTAATCCAAACTCATCATAATCACATTTCCCACAAAGACAAGTAATCTCTAAGCAACATTTCTTGATAAATCCATATTATATACCACTTCAACCCACTCATTCACATATCACATTACATTAACTTATAACTAGTATTTTTGTCCCCCCAACAATCTAAACCTTAAAAAAAAAGAAAGAGAGACTCACTTTCCCCTCTCAATTCTAAAAATAAGAGACAATCAATGATGTCCTCACATCATCCGATCCCCTCCATTGATACAAACAATCAAGGATTGCATTTCTAAGATGTGTTTGGAGGGAAAAAGAAAAAAAGAAAATCCCCAAACAAACAAACAATATAATTATATTGTAGAAGAAAAAGAAAATGGGAATATATCTAAAGATGGCAACGGAAGCAATTGCAAGTCTTGGGAGTGAAAGAACAGAAACCAAAGGGCCTGTTTGGGATGTTGCAATTGATAGCATAGCAACAAGGAGATGCCAAACAGTAGGTTTTACCTCCACCTCCACAGCAAGTGCACAATGCACAAATCTGGAAGCTACCAAGTTTCCTCCTGCTTCCATTCACCATCATCATCATCATCTTTCCCGGCTCCATTAGAGGCACCATATCATCCACTGAGCTGGTGCTGGTGCTGTTGTCCCCCGCCCCCGCCAACCCATTTGCCTGCAAAAATCAATAAATTATTTATTTTTATCATCAAGAATGGATTTTTATTTCTTTTTGCTAAAAGCTAGAGTAAGGAAGGAAGCAACCCACAAGAGAAAATGGAGTACATGTGAATAGCACAAGGAACATAATTAACCGAAAAATCCCACCAACAATTGGACGCATCTCTTCTTGCTTCTTCAACTTGCTTTTTTCTTTTCTCTTTTTGTGGGAGATTCTTGAAATTTTTTTTATTGAAAAATGGAAGTGGGCTGGTAATTAAGAAATGTATAATAGTGTGGAGAGGTATGAAAGAGTGAGTGTGAAAGAGATGTAGGTTAGGTGTGTGTGTGTGTGTGTGTGTAATAAATAAAAGTAGTTTGGAAGGGATAGGAAGAAAGAAAGGTGGGGGGAGGAGTTTAATGGAATTCAACTGTCAACAAGAAATCAAATGGATTTAATTCTTCATCTAAATGCAAATGGAAAATGGGAGAGTACAACAATAGCTACTGCCTAGTACTAAATAGTCTTGTGTTTTATCATCTCAATTCTTTGTTTCTTCACACTACTATTCCAAAATGAAACAAATAAACAGCTTTTTAAACACCAGAATTAAATTTCACTGCTTGTTTTCTTTTTCTGATTTTTTTCTTTCCATTTATATTGACCCAAACTTTAATACATTCTACTCTCACATTTCAAATTTTTAGGGAAATATAGTTTAAGTCCCTAAGAAAAAAGATACTTGAAATTAATGTTTTAACTATAAAACCTAAATTAACGAAAAGTACTTTTTTGTGCTCTATAAATATTCAAACTTTAAATTAATTATTTTCAAGAACAGCATTGCAATTTGCAACAATATATTAATAATAATATTAACAATAATGATACTAATAATAGTAAGATATTTAACCATAAAACCAAAATTCTGCTTAAAAACCGGCAAGAAGCAACAAAAAGACACATATGTAAAAACAAAACAAATGCATCTTCAGTTTAATTCATCCATTGTCCGGAATATTTGGAGGGGTTGTATCAACAATCACATTTTTCAGAGTCTTCTCCTCATCAAACTAACACAATCATTAATTTTTTTTTTCTTTTAACAAAAAATGTATCAACAATAATGAACACGTACGGTATACCAAACAAACAAAAACATGCATTAATCATTTGAATACACAAATATACATATATCTATATTCATACAGCTACCATATATAATGGCGAGCTTGTCCAACCAGCCATCGAAGAAGGCAATGCGGACCCCTGGTGGCTCTTCCGGGGGCGGGGGCGGAGGTGGAGGCAGCTCACAGGGGAACCGTGGCTCAACCGGCCAAACCGTGAAATTTGCAAGAAGAACTTCCAGCGGTAGATACGTTAGCCTGTCTAGAGAAGACTTGGACATGTCAGGGGAATTTTCCGGGGATTACATGAACTACACCGTTCACATTCCTCCGACCCCGGACAATCAGCCCATGGATACCTCAGTGGCTGCAAAAGCCGAGGAACAATATGTTTCAAATTCTCTATTCACCGGTGGATTCAACAGCGTGACACGGGCCCATCTGATGGACAAGGTGATCGAATCACAGGTGAATCATCCACAAATGGCTGGATCAAAGGGCTCCTCGTGCGCCATGCCAGCTTGCGATGGCAAAGTTATGAAGGACGAGAGAGGAGAAGATGTTATCCCCTGCGAATGCAGGTCTCGTACATAATTTTAATTATTATTATTATTATATATATGTATAATGTCGTCTCATTTTATATATATATATATTAATTTCTTATGATGGATCGATGGATCATGATGATTTTCCTCCTCTCCAGGTTCAAAATATGTAGAGATTGCTACATGGACGCCCAAAAGGACACAGGTCTATGTCCAGGATGCAAAGAGTCGTACAAAGTAGGGGATTACGACGACGAAATACCAAACTACTCGAGTGGAGCTCTATCTCTCCCTGGCCCTGATGACCCCAAGAGGGACCGTCAAAACATGTCTATGATGAAAAGGAATCAAAATGGTGAATTTGACCACAATAAATGGTTATTTGAAACCCAGGGCACTTACGGTTACGGCAATGCCTATTGGCCCCAAGACGACGTATGTGGTGACGATGGTGAAGGAGGGATGCATCGGAGCGCTCTCGACACATCTGATAAACCATGGAGGCCCCTTAGCCGTGTTATTGATATCCCAAATAGTATTATCAGCCCTTACAGGTTGTTGATTGTTGTCCGCCTTGTTGTCCTTGGTTTCTTCTTGGCATGGAGATTGAGACATCCCAATCACGAAGCCGTATGGCTTTGGCTAATGTCGGTTGTCTGTGAGGTTTGGTTTGCTTTCTCCTGGATTCTCGATCAGCTTCCCAAGGTGCATCCCATTAATCGAACTACCGATTTAGAGGTTTTACGTGAAAAATTTGATATGCCGTCACCTTCAAATCCCACCGGCCGCTCCGATCTCCCCGCTGCTGATGTATTCGTGTCCACCGCCGATCCAGAGAAAGAACCACCACTTGTCACTGCCAACACTATTTTATCGATCCTAGCTGTGGAGTACCCTGTGGAGAAACTGGCATGTTACGTCTCTGATGACGGTGGAGCCCTTCTTACTTTCGAAGCAATGGCCGAGGCGGCTAGCTTCGCCGATTTGTGGGTCCCTTTCTGTAAAAAGCACGATATAGAGCCCCGGAATCCTGAAACCTACTTCTCTCTCAAGGGCGATCCGACCAAGAACAAGAGTAGGCTGGATTTTGTCAAAGATAGGAGGAGAGTTAAGAGAGAATACGATGAATTCAAAGTGAGGATAAATGGACTGCCCGATTCGATTAGGAGAAGATCAGAGGCTTTCAATGCAAGAGAGGAGATGAAAATGCTGAAGCATAGGAGGGAGAGTGGGGCTGACACTTTAGAGCCAATCAAGGTCCAAAAGGCTACATGGATGGCCGATGGCACACACTGGCCCGGTACTTGGTCCGTTGCGTCTCGTGAGCATGCCAAGGGCGATCACGCTGGAATTCTTCAGGTAATTCCATATTATTAGAAAAAGAAAAAAAGACTTTTATTTTTAATCAATAATGTTAACAATGAATTGCATTTGTACTTAAAAAAAATTAATTAGGTAATGTTGAAGCCTCCTAGTAGTGATCCACTGATGGGAAGTTCGGAAGACAAGCTTCTGGACTTCAGTGATGTTGACATACGTCTGCCGATGTTTGTGTACATGTCTCGTGAGAAGCGTCCAGGTTATGACCACAACAAGAAAGCCGGTGCAATGAATGCTCTAGTGCGATCCTCCGCTGTGTTGTCAAACGGAGCTTTTATACTGAACCTCGACTGTGACCATTACATCTATAACTGCAAAGCTCTCCGAGAAGGGATGTGCTTTATGATGGATAGGGGTGGAGAAGACATTTGCTACATTCAGTTTCCTCAGAGATTTGAAGGCATTGATCCATCTGACCGTTACGCCAACCACAACACCGTTTTTTTCGATGGTAATATGCGAGCACTAGATGGCCTCCAGGTAACTCACTGATTTCACAACTCTTGTTCTTCAACTTTTTATACGAAATAAAATAAAATAAAATTGTGTGTTTCGATTATTTTAGGGACCGGTTTATGTTGGCACCGGTTGTATGTTTCGAAGATTCGCCCTTTATGGATTTGAACCACCAAAAGTAGATAAAATATCTGACAAAAGCTCAGAGACTCAAGCTCTGAAGACAACTGATTTCGACCCTGATCTTGATGTGAATCTATTACCCAAACGGTTTGGGAACTCCACATTGTTGGCTGAGTCAATCCCCATCGCTGAATTTCAAGGCCGTCCCATCGCCGATCATCCTGCAGTCAAGTACGGACGTCCACCCGGCATTCTACGCGCCCCCCGTGAACCACTCGATGCAACCACTGTAGCCGAAGCTGTCTCTGTTATATCTTGCTGGTATATATATATATATATATATATATGCTTCTTAATTCTTCACACACACACACACACATGTATATATAGTTTAATTAGTAATAACATCCTTATGTAATTGTTTGTTAGGTACGAGGATAAGACGGAATGGGGGGATCGAGTGGGTTGGATTTACGGTTCGGTGACAGAGGATGTGGTGACAGGGTACCGAATGCACAACCGCGGCTGGCGTTCGGTGTACTGCGTCACGAAACGTGATGCTTTCCGTGGATCGGCTCCAATAAATCTGACAGACAGGCTCCACCAGGTGCTGAGGTGGGCCACAGGGTCCGTTGAAATCTTCTTCTCGAGAAACAACGCATTGCTCGGGACAAGAAAGATCAAAGTCCTCCAACGCCTGGCATACCTCAACGTGGGGGTCTACCCCTTCACCTCACTATTCTTAATAGTGTATTGCTTCCTCCCAGCCCTATCCCTATTCTCTGGCTTCTTCATTGTCCAAACGCTCGATGTGACATTCCTCGTACTCCTTCTGACCATATCCATATGCCTGGTGGCCTTAGCACTACTGGAAGTGAAATGGTCGGGAGTGGGACTGGAGGAGTGGTGGAGGAACGAGCAATTCTGGCTGATTTCCGGGACAAGTGCACACTTGGCAGCTGTGGTGCAGGGACTTCTGAAAGTGATTGCAGGAATAGAGATATCGTTCACGTTGACGTCAAAGTCTGCGGGTGAGGACGTGGACGACATATACGCGGACTTGTATCTAGTGAAATGGACGTCTTTGATGATACCGCCGATTGTGATAGGGATGGTGAATATAATAGCGATAGTGGTGGCGTTTTCGAGGACAATATATCAGACGGTGCCACAGTGGAGCAAGTTCATAGGTGGTGCATTCTTTAGTTTTTGGGTGCTGGCACATTTGTATCCATTTGCAAAGGGGTTGATGGGGAGGAGAGGGAAGACGCCGACAATTGTGTTTGTGTGGTCAGGTTTGATTGCTATTACATTGTCATTGTTGTGGGTTGCTGTTAACCCCTCTAACAACTCCATGCCAACTGCTGCTGGTGCCGCCTCCGGCTTTACTTTCCCTTGAACTAATTATAGTACATATGTACTGTGTTTCTTGTATAATTACTACTTCTGTTTATTTCCACTGGAGTTTCAAGATATTTAATATGAGTGTTTGTAGTTAATACGCTAAAAAATATATGCTCTTATTCTTAATACACACTATTCTGAAACAATTATCCTACCCTGAGTTCATTTGTTCTTATATCAAATATTAGTTGCTTAATATGTTCATTTCTATCCCCACAATCTATAAATAATAAAATGCTCACTATAATCAACTTTAAATGTAATTGATTTCTTTGCTCTTCCTGAAAATATAAAATAAACAAAACATAGTTAGTTAATAAAAAAAAAAGCTTATCCGCACCGGTGTTTGGATGTCCTTAACCACGATCCACCCATTGAGCACCCAAATACAATTCGCACGCCAAAATTGGATGCCCAAAAGCATAGCGCATGTCCGAATTAGGCATGGATCTCACTTTTGGGCAATTTGGGCGTTGAAGTAGATTGCAAGCGCCCGTTTTTATAGTGAGCCGTATATTTGTAATTCTACAATGAAACAAATAATTTTTACCTCATCGTGGTGGACTCACTTTTGTTTGTGAATCAAACAAGAAATGTTTTGTGACGATTTAAGACGTAATAGTTTGAGAGGTTTTTCTTTATTATTTAATCCTAATAGAAAATAGACTATTGGCAAATATATATATATATATATATATATATATATATATATATAATATGGGCTGAAGACATTTTAAACAAGATTATCTTGCTATTAATTGATTGGGCCTAGGACATTTTAAAGAAGATTATCTTGGTATTACTAATTGATATTGTTCTACTCTATTTTAATCTCCTATTTACTCTTTTTTTCTCTCTGTAATTCATGACCAATAATAAAATTGGTAAAAAGAATTAATTGCATATTAATTTTTTTAACACTCAAATTATTATTTGATAATTATTAAAAAAAAAAAAACAAATAGTAAAGAGAATAATATTTATAGCATCGAAGTCGCTAGGGTTCATTCTCCGCCCTCCCCCTTTCTCTCTCATCAAATCCCTTTCTTCCTCTCCGCCAAATTGAAGCCCCAAAATCCCTCTCTCTCTCTCTCTCTAGAGGAACAACCAGCAATCACCATGACAGGAAAAGCGAAGCCGAAGAAGCACACCGCCAAGGAGCTCGCCGCGAAACTTGATGCCGCCACCACCAACCGCGGCGGAGGCAAGGCCGGCCTCGCGGATCGAACTGGTAAGGAAAAGGGCGGCCACGCGAAGCTGGAGTGCCCCCTTTGCAAGGTGACCGCACCCGATATGAAATCGATGCAAATCCACCACGAAGCTCGCCATCCCAAGATCCCCTTCGACGACTCCAAACTCAATAATCTTCACTCTACCGTGGAGGCCGAGTCTTCCAAGCCCAAGCCTGGTATCCGTGGCAGCTTGAAGAAGTGATCAGTCAACCCTTTTCCCCTCATTTTTATATTTCTTGTTCCATATTATTATGCTAAGAAAAAAAACTCCCTACTGCTATTGCTCTAACGTCGCTATATAATACTTGACCAGACTCTTTTCTTTTTTGGTGTGTTGTTATGCTATGTTGCCTGTTATTATAGACATGGATAAATACTAGTTCTTTCTGATGGTAAAAATACTCTCTTTGGAGTTTTGTCTTTGCGCTTATGGTTATTGCTGAATTTTGGAAACATGTCATTTAGTAAAGCCATGCTATGATTTGACAACAACCTGGGGCTTAAGCCTCATATGTGATATTTGCTAATTGGGTTTTACAAATTTGCACTCCGGTTCACATACTTGACTAGGAATTTTCACTGTATAGCAGGTACTTGTTATGGCTCTACGATGAAATAGGATAAAAACAGAAGATCTATTATAGAACACATATCATGTCATATTGTATTGGCTGTCTATAGTTACACAGTACCTGTGGAATTTTCCTATCAATGTATTTTTTTTGTGTATATAGTTCGAAACATCTAATGTAGTAATATTTTATTATGCTTCGGCAAAAACCTGGGCCATCGGCCTCAAACGTGCGACTTGAATTGACTAGGACTGTTCATTATACAGCCCTTAGCCTTGTTACAAAAAATAGGATTATAACGGATGATCTACTATAGGACACAGTTATCATGTCACATTGTATTGGCTGTCTATAGTTAAATAGCACCTGTGGAGTTGTCTTACCATTGAGTTTTCTTTCACATAGTTGGAACATGGAAGCAGTGCATGTTGACACTTTCTGGTAGTTATAATGAAATGGCCTGATGGGTGCGAATTCAGATATAGGCTTAATGTTATTCGAAAAGACTTCTCTTTTCCTATCAAAAGTTATTGTAATTTAGAGATGCTGGTCTAGTTACTCTTAATGTTTCTACCTTTGGTTTCAATAGAATAAAAATACTGAGAAGAAAGATACGATAGGCTCATTTTCTTAAAAAATCTTGCTGAGTAGCTGGGTTGTATAATAGTTTATTTCAATGACCTTACGTGTATGCTGCTTCTACTGCATGTTCTTGTTTGTAGTGTGATTTGGAGGCTTACATGCGCTACGACAATAGCAGCGAATACATTGAAATGTTTTCTGCTGTTATATTTATAAGTTTAACTGCACTGTGAAGGATCTGTTGATTATTTTATTTGATTCCTCGGTTGAATGTTTGATTTTATGGATTATGTTGTTAAAGATGTGTTATTTATGTGAATGTTTTTGATTGGCAATTTATGTAGAGATTCTTTGGCATTATTAAATGATGGGAGCAATACTTTTATTGACTATTGTTTTCCTTTTCATTTGCCTTCGGGTTAGTTGAAAGACTGCATCCTTGCATTGCTGTCGTAAGAAATCTGGTAGAGTATGGTTGGACACCTGCTCACCTGGGTGGTTGTTGTTCTGCTAGATTTCTTTTAGCACAGCTTTCTATTTGGCTGCAAAAAATACTAGTAATGTTATATTTTTATTGCATCTTTTCTTTTCGTACGTGTTGTATGGGTACATCATCTATAATAGGGTATTTTTGATGTAAATGAAGGAAATCTGATTTGCTTCATTAGCATCTTCATGTACCTTGGGTCACTGGCTGCCTCAAAGTGTTTGCTTTTTGTAACTATGGTCATGACTCATGATTTTATTTGTTCACATGAATGAGCTTCTCACTAAGCTCTATAAAAACACGCATAGGGAGAGTAATTTTTATACTCTCTCAGTGTCTATAAAGTTGTAGACTGGAGTTGAAAAAAGAGAGATGGCTTCTCAAAGCATCGTCGACAGCATTGGTTTAGAGCTACGCAGATATGTGATTGCATGTGGACTTAAATTTGTCCAAACTGTGGTTTAGGAATATAGTTTGTGAAGGAAGATATATTTTGCATCTCGTTGCCTACTTGTGTCACATTGTATGCTAATAATAATATCTGAAATAAGTGATGACATTATAAGCATTAGTGAGTGAGTTGAATTTGGTTTTCATATGACAGTGGATATACGTATGTGCTTGTTTGAATGGTCAGTTTTTTCCAATGGCATTTCTACTTTTTTTTTTTTTTTTTTTTTTTTTTTTTTTTTTTTTTGATCGGTAAATGTGAAATATATAGATCAAAACGGACTTTACAAATACACTGGGCATACCCAGGCAGTGTAATCAAAAAAAAATATATATCAATGCCTATACATGAACAAGACCCCACAGGTCAAGTGCAAACCAAAGATCAAAAAGGGGCAAGTGCAAACCAAAGATCAAAAAACAATCAAGGATGCACGATTTGCAAAGCTGATTGCGGAAACAAGGCAAAAACCGTCTTGTAAACGAGTATCTTGATCTTACGCACCATCACAGTAATCCTAGGCGTCTCGTTCTCAAAAAATTTCCGATTGCGAGCACTCCAAATCTGATAAACGGTGCAAGCAAGGGCCACCTTCTTCGCTTTTTGCCGCCAACATGAGCCACAAGCCTCCTTCTTCAGCCATTTCAAAGCACTCTTGAGCGTAGTTGCAGCCCGAGGGAAGCCCATCCATTCCCGAATAATGCTCCAAATGTTGTAAGTAAACGTGCATCCGAAAAACAAATGCACCACAGTTTCAGGCTCCGTACAAAAAATGCACGACTTTTCAACCTCCACGTGCTTGATTCGATTCCTGGTCTTGAGCCTGGACAGAATACCAAGCCACAGAATAAACGAGTGTTTCGGTGTAATAGTTGGACACCAGACCACATTAGCCCACGGACGAGGAGCAGCCCTCGGACGAAAACAATCATAAGCAGCGGCAGACCCCTTACCGGGCAGACCATACCATTTGGTCAAATTAGCGATTGCCAACTCCTCCGACCCAAAATGCAATCGGATCTGATCTCGAATAGAAGCCAGGTATTTAATAAAAGCTGAGTCTTGTCGGCCCGGAACCCATTCCCAAACAGATTGTTGCCGTAAATATACACAATTAACCCACCGAACCCACAACGAGTCCTTCTTGGATTGAATCTCCCACAGATTCTTCGTAATAAGGGCAGCATTCCAAGCCCCTAATTCTCTCAATCCAAGACCTCCCTCGGTCTTCGGAAGGCAACATTTCTTCCATGCCACGGACGCTCCTGCCTTTCCCCACAAAAATGCACGGCATAATTTAATAATTGCGGTTCTAACCGTGACCGGGATGGAGAAAATAGAAAGCCAAAAACATTCCACACCTTGTAGGACCGCTCGAATTAACTCAGCCCGACCCGCATAAGAAAGCGAGGCCCCCGTCCAGGCATTAATATAAGCCAAGATCTTGTCAAGCAAAGGCCCATACTGCACAACCTTGAGACGTGCTGCAGCCAAAGGGATACCAAGGTACCGAAAAGGCATAACTCCCTTAACCAAGTGCGTCGTTTGCTGAATATCCTCGCCCTGCTGCTCGGAAACCCCCGCAAAATAGATATTTGATTTGAGCACATTAAGTTGCAGCCCCGATTTCGCTCCAAAATCTTTCAAGCAATCCATGAGCACTTGAACCGACATAGGATCTCCTCTAGCCAGGAGCATCAAATCATCCGCATACGCAAGATGCGTAATCTTCAAAGGACCACATTTCGGGTGGAAATTAAAGTCGGGATTGTCGGTAGCCTTGGCCATCAGTCTCGAGAAATATTCGAGACACAAAATAAACAGATAAGGTGATATCGGATCACCTTGTCGCAGCCCCTTCTTCCCTTTGAAAAATCCATGCAAACCGCCGTTAATGGAAAGAGAATAGGATGGAGTCGAAACGCACTCAACAATCCAATTAACGAACAGCGGTGGAAAACCCAACCCTTTCAGCATATCAAAAAGGAAGTCCCAACTAATCGAGTCATACGCCTTCCGAATATCAATTTTAATAACACATCGAGGAGAAATTCTTTTTCGATTATAATGTCGAAGCAGCTCCTGCATCAAGTGGATATTATCACTTATACTCCGCCCTTGAATGAACGCCGCTTGAGCCTTGTCAACAATCGAATCCATAATCGGCGCCAATCTCGCTGCAAGTACTTTCGTAATTATCTTGTACACGACATTGCAGCACGCAATCGGCCGAAAATCTCCCACCGAAGGAGAGTGGCTTCCCTTCGGCACAAGAGAGATAAAAGAATTATTTAACTGTTTAAGCAGGAATCCGTTGCCAAAAAATTCCTTCACCGCACCAACAACCTGTTCTCCAACAATGTCCCACGACTTCTTAAAGAAACCAGCCGAGAAGCCGTCGGGCCCCGGCGATCTATCCACACCGATATCGTCAAGCGCCTCCTTAATTTCGAGCTCCGTAACTTCCTGTATGAGTTGAGTCTGTTGCTCGACCGACAAACACGGGCCATTTTGAATAACGTCCAAGTCAATAGGTTCCGTCTGAACCTTGGTTCCCAGCAAATCTTTATAAAAATTAAGGAACTCCGAAACCACTTGTTCCGGAGCAGTCGTAGTCGTCCCGTCACCGAGAGAAAGAGATGCAATACAGTTCTTCGTTCTGTTCCTCTTCACCATGGAATGAAAAAATTTTGTGCATCGATCACTATTAGCGAGGTAAGCACTCTTCGCTTTCTGTTGGAAGAAACTACGCTCAGCGTTCCCAAGTCTCAATGCATCCTTGCGGAGATCGGGAATCGATCGCTGAATTTCTTCATTGGAAGGATGATCATGCAGTTGTTGTTGAGCGTCAATAAGGAGACCGCTAGCTCTTTTGAACCGCTCCGATATGTGGGAAAAGTGCTTTTCGTTCAACAATTTAAGTCGACCTTTAAGCCCCATAAGCTTCTTACATAAGACAAACTGTTTGGTGCCCCGACACTGCTGATTCCAGCCCTCCAAAACAGTATTCGCATACTTCTCGTGCTCGGTCCACATGTTGTAAAATCTAAACGGAAATTGCTTTAAGGCTTTATATGTTGTCTACTTCTAGTTCAATAATGCAATTGCTTTAAGGCTTTATATGTTGTCTACTTTCTTCACCGGAAATGTGATGGATGGATACAGTTGGTGGAAACTAGAAAAGTATACTAGTAAATTGCCTCTATTTGTTGGTCAGAAACCAACGTGGGCCTGTCAAATAAACCATTCATTATTAATTATTAAAAAAAAAAGTAGTTTTTCCAAACTCCATTTTTATTTTTATTTTCGTTTTCGTTTAAATAGATTTGCCCATTACTATTATCATGATTAAAGAAGCTGGTATTCGTTCATAAGGTTTGACCAATCAAAATAAATTATTAACTGAACTGCATCAATACTAGCTAGTATCTTTGAGGATCGAAAAAATAAATTCCGGGGTTATGATGTACAAAACATTTGGAATTTCATTTGGTATATATATATGTTGAATCTCATCTCATGAAAGAAAAGCACAACAAAAATCCTTTGATTCTATTACACACTAGTTTTGATTCAAGGAGGAATCAAGAATGGTAGTGGTGGCGAGTCAAGAATTGCTGGCGGAGACTCCAATGTCCAAATATTACAGCTACCTACCTATAATTAGATGCCCATAATTAATTTCTTTGATTGGATTATTAATTAAATATAATATTATTAATATTATTATATGCAAAAAGAAAAAGAAATATTGTTTTCTAGTTAGCACTTAGCACTTAGCAATAACACCCGCTTTCAAAAGTTGTTGGCTGCAGCACCACCTTCTTCTACCCCTGCAGTGCTTCCCCATTCAAATCTCTCTCTTTTTAAGCCACCACCGCACAGCACCCTTGCCTATCTCCACCGCCGCCTTCTAAAGTTGTTCATCTCTCATCAATCATGGGTGATGCCGCCATGGATGCTGTCCAGAGACGCCTCATGTTCGAAGACGAGTTTGTACCCATTCCCTTTTTTTTTTTCTTTTTTTTTTTTTTTTTTATCCGTAAATGACACTCATGTAGATCTTGAAACATTGTTTTTCATCACCTGGTCCTGGGCTACATTATTTTCAATTCTATATCGTTTATTTCTGTTTATTAACTATTCCCGTGCTCGATCTTGATTTTGCTGTAAAGGAGAGATCTTTCAATTGATTTTGATTGAAATTTTTCATCTTTACATAATAATCATTTTTTTAATTTCTCTGCAGATGTATATTGGTTGATGAGAATGATCGAGTGGTTGGCCATGATACCAAATACAATTGTAAGTTGTACCTTTCCTTTTTCTTATTTTCAATTGCTTTCTAATCATCATATTTTTTGGTATCTGATGGGCTTTCTTTCTTACTTCAATTGCTTTGTCTTAGTTGCTCTTTGCAGCTGAATATTAAATTAAGATTGATGTCAAGATTTATCATTCTAATATTGTCTTGCTATCCTGATCATAATTCTTCGTTTCCTTCTCCGTTCTTCAAAGATTCGTTTTTTATTGGGATTCTTGTTTATAGTGTAAATCAAATGGGAAAGAGTAGAACATTGGCAGTTCAGCCAACTTTTCTCATTTTCACTTGATCACTTTAAACGAAAATTTAACCTTTTTCCCACAATATGACCAGAAAGATGATTCCGCAAATTATGTTGTCATGTATAAAATGCGTATGCTAACCATTTCTTGGTACTTTTATCTATCTGTAGGAAAATGAAGGTTCGACCTCTTGTTTGTGTTATTTGTTACATTACTTTTTGTCTTTTGTTGCTTCTTGCATAATGCAGAATTACTTGAACCAACCACCTCTATCTATGCAGGCCACCTGATGGAAAACATCGAGACTGGAAAATTTTTGCACAGAGCTTTCAGCGTGTTTCTGTTTAACTCGAAATACGAGTTATTGCTTCAGGTATGTGTTCCTTCCTTGAGTAAAGATAGTCTTCTGTCATTCATGTTCACATTTTTTGGTGAAGGATAACGATAAGTTTATTTTATAGAGAGTGCCAATCAAATGAAGTATATCAACAAAAACAAGTTTTTCTATATTCTACTGACAGAAAACAAAATTATGGACTTTGCTCCATTGCAATTTGCTCTGCACAAGCTAAATGTTGCAAGAAATACACAGTTGACATATTATGTATTTATTATTGGTTTACGACGTGCAGCAAAGGTCTGCAACAAAGGTGACCTTTCCGTTGGTGTGGACAAACACCTGCTGTAGTCATCCCCTATACCGAGATTCTGAGCTCATTGAAGAGAATATTCTTGGTATCATATTTTATCTGTATTCTTCAGTTCAAGCTATTTCTTTACCATACTCACAACACAATAATCATCTGAATATTTTATTTTGATTAAAAGGGGTGAGAAATGCTGCTCAAAGGAAACTGTTGGACGAACTCGGTATCGCTGCTCAAGACGTTCCAGTTGATGAGTTCACTCCATTGGGCCGTATTCTCTACAAAGCACCCTCTGACGGAAAATGGGGAGAGCATGAAGTGGATTATCTACTGTTCATTGTCCGTGATGTTGGGGTGCACCCGAATCCAGATGAAGTGGCTGACGTGAAATATGTTAACCGCGAGCAATTGAAGGAGATTTTAAGGAAAGCAGATGCAGGTGAAGAGGGTGTTAAGCTATCCCCTTGGTTCAGGTTAGTTGTCGACAACTTCTTGTTCAAGTGGTGGGACCATGTTCAGAACGCTACTTTGCTCCAAGCTGCTGACATGATAACCATTCACAAGCTAACCTGAAACTCTCCTCCTGCCCCGAACTTCCATTATTCATTCACGCTTGTCTGTTTTTTCTAGAAATTTACTGATTGATTTAAATTTTGCTTCAATTCTTGCCATGCCATGTTGTGTGTGTTTGGATTCACAATAAGAAGCATTTTGGTTTCGTTGTGCACGATTTTAAAAGGGTTATTTTCTTATTCTGCTATAGACAAATTGACGAGTACAAACCAATAGTCATTATGTTAAGTCGAGAACATGCAATCTAGGACAGGTACAGGCAACTGTTGTCCTAGAAGTTCGATTATTTTCAAGAAAACATGTACGTACATATATAACGCAGAAGTAGGGATGCTAACGCGAAACTATCCTATAGTACATATATAGCGCAAAACTATCCTAGTCTCTACAGCAGAATGTTGCTAGAAAAAGTAAAGAGAGCAAATATGTATATCAGAGTCATCATCTGTAACACACAGATTCAGAATCTCCACTGCCCTCTTCAAAATCAAGACCCTGAGTAACAGTCATGCTAGAAGCAGACGAACCACCACTAGTCTCGGGCGGCACTACCCTGTGAAGAAGGGCGGCCTTTCTTTTACTTCTACTCCGCTGCCATCGCCTCAGAGACTCCGACACCTCTCTCTCATCTCTCCTTGTACCCAAGGCCTCTTGATCTGAGTCGACAGCTGATGAATATGAATCATCTTGTTCCAGCTTCCCAAAAGGAAATGCCATGACAGGAAATATAAGAGGCTTTAGGAAGAAAACAAGTGTGATAACAAGAAAGATAAATATTTGCATTGTTGTCCAAACGGAGAATGTCCATTTCCACTTGTACACCAATTCTTTGGTCCAAGGAGGTCTTGATCTTATGAGCACTTGTGCATCGTAAAACTGAGGGAGTGATGAAGTACCAGCTCGTGGAATTAAGGTTATCCGGACATCCGCTGTCCTTGGATAGCTAGTTTCTTTGTGTTTCAGAATTGGGAATGTTAACCTCTGAGTTTCGGTGGTCATCCCTAACAACAAGGGTACACCCATAAGAAATGTTCGAGTTAGCCTGACGGGCCAACTTCTGAACCGCAACATACAAGGATGGCTCGATTTTGCGACTAACTCTCCTCCAACGGACAATAATTCAGCACTCAACTGACATACATAAGCAAAGACAAGAAAGAGGGCATCGATCATAAACATGCTAGGTAGATAGATTTGAGGAAGTTTAGATGAGTAGATAGATAGAGATTTACCTGAAAAATGCCAAGGTCTCTGTTGTAATCTGATTCAGGCATGAGAAGAAGGAGAGAAACATAAAGAGTGTGGCCAACAGGAACTCCTTGGTAATTATAATTGTAATTATAAGGATCAAAAGAAAAGAGAGAAGTTGGATGAGGATTTGTGTAGTCAAAGTGCAAACTCTCTCTCACATAAATAGGCTCCTCCGCCCACGCACCCACCAATCCAAAACCCAAAACCGCAGCCACAACCATCACTAGCATGAGCAAGACGCACACATAGGCAGCCGCCAGCAGACCCATAGCAATCCTCCTCCCTAGCAGGAGGCGAGCAGCCGTGGAAGATGGCGGTGGGGCAGACGGCTGGAAGTGGAAGTGGTGGTCTTTGGGTTCACTGTGGAAGAAGAAGTCGAAAGGGGAAAGGAAGATATCGGCTTGAAGAGAGAGGAGCTTAGTCGCAAAATTGATCAATGGGTTGGGGAAGGTGGGTGGTGGTGGTGGTACCACTTGCTTCTCATCGTAGTTGTCAACCTGATCCTCACCACCGGACTCCATTGACGGACGGACGGTATCTCTAACTCAAAACTTTGAAACTAGCTAACATCTGTTCATGAATATTAGTAATATATTAATTTGCAAGTCCAGTTGTAATGTAATGGAGGAACTACGAAAAGACATGCACATCCACGACATGACACCTGTCGTCTGTACTCATCATTTCTGCATCTCTCTATCTCATCATTCTCATGTCCCAATCAATTTTATAATTTAAAAAAAAACATTAATTTTCAGTAAATATTCAATAAGTAAATGCCCATTTTTACAAGTAAAAAGGGATTTGCAAATGGGTAATTGTTTTTATTGAAATAATGAGAATGATTAACAAGTAGATCATTATATATGGAGTAAATTAGTAGTTGCAACTTGCAAGTAAAAGTATAGAAATGGGCTTAAATTTTTTTCCGTCGGATTCCGGCGTTGACTTTTCAATTTTTTTTTTCTTCCGGACTTTTTCGATTTTTTTTTTCTTCTTTTCTTTCTTTCTGTAACTTTTTTTTTGTTTAAACAACAATATTGCTGTGATTGACAAATATTAACTATATTACTGTTAAACACGGTAAAATTAACTAAACTACAGTTTAACACAGTAATATTGGTGAAATAGATATAATTCCTAAACCTAGAATAATAAACATACTTGGTTGGAGACTTATGCCCAAAAACCCCAAAAATGTATTTTTTAAATTGTGCAAAATAAAGAAAATACAAAATATCCGCTTAAAAATATATTTTTGCATTTCTATTTTTAGTGTATTTTCTTTTAATTTATAGACATTTTTTGTTTTCGCACAAAATAAATACTTGAACTATAATTATCTACGAATTTATTTTTGGAATTCTGCAAAAGTATAAAATAAAAAGAAAATGTTACAATATTTGTCTTCAAACAATATTTTTCGTTTATACCTTATTTTGAAGTGTATTGTTGTTATAATCAGTGTTCTAAAAATCGGCCGAGGCGGTCCAAAACATTTACGATTTTAGTGTAAAGGTTTGAAAAATCGGTTTTTTGCCTGTGAGGCGGTTTGAGGCGGTCTGAGGCGGTCAAACCTTTAAGGCGGGTCAAACTTCGGTGGCAAAAATCGGTCAAAAATCGTTTTTTTTTTTTTTTTTTTATAAATCAAAATAAAAGTTGGGATATTAATAAAAAAAATGAGTTTATGCTTTATTTTGTTTATGTTAATTATTATTGTTAAAGAACTAATGATGTATGCCAAGAATGTATGTAAATTCAAAAAAAATGGTCTTTTTATTTATATTTTATAAGGATATTTATGTATTATGATCTTATTATTCTTAAACTTTTATTATGTTATTAGAATATATACATGATGGAGATATAACTATGTTTAAATATTTTTTATCTATGTTTTGAGTATTTACAAATAATATCTACAAATATATTATATTAAATTTTAAAAACCGATTTATCACCGATTAATCACCGCCGCACCGATTAATCGTGTGTCGGTGCCTCTGACCGACTCGGACCCGATTACCGATTTTTACAACCTTAGTTATAATCACATAAAAATACATATAATATTGTTGTTTATTCATTGATTAATACAGCAATCCAAAGTAGGTAGAGTACACAACAAAAAAAATTAGTACAACTTGATCTTAATTGCGTGAAATGCAACTGCACAAAAAAAATATTAGTATAAAATATGATGATTAATTTAGCATATTAAAAAAATTATAATTGAAAAACATAAAATTCTAGTTGTATACCAAAAATTGGAATAGTCCAGTTGCTGCAATAGTGGGTCCAGTTTGATGATGTAAACTGTGTTTGGTATATAAAATAAAATATAACTAAATACATTGTTTGGAAATTTTGAGCTTCTAAACAATATCTTCATCTTCATATTAAGTAGCATCTCATAGTCAACAAATTTCCCATTGGAAAACTTCTTGTTAATTGGAACCAAAACCTGTGACAAAAAAGAAAGAAAGAAAAAAATGGAAAAGAGAGGCCATGCAAAGATGTAAACTCAAACTACAAACCTTCCGATAGACCGCACCGTCTCTTCTCCTCAAATGATGAATAAAAACGGATGCATGAATAAATTCATATGAGAACATGGCTATTTGAACGAAAGCCGGAAAAAAAAAAACAATCATGTGATAGAAAACAATAGTCTTCTGATCGGTTGCAAATAATTTCTTCTCTTTGAATGGTTTGAGTTGTATGAATGTTCGGCCAAAAATTCTTTTTAACTGATGATGATTGTATAAAATAAAAGTTTTTGTGAATTAGAATTTAAAGATGTAAAAAAAAAATTGTGTAAATGAAACAGAAAAGAAAATATACATACCGCTGCTATGCTGCTACAAAAATAAACAAAACCGAAAATCGGGCTGTACTGTTATGAAAACATAGATGCTCTGCAGATGAAACGGGGTAAAACTATACAGATGAACAACAACATGAAGTTATCCTTTAAGTTTTATACAACAAAAAGTTTTGACTGTTATGCTGCTATGAAAACGAAAGTGAAAGAATAATTTAGTCATGAGAAATAGAGCATATTAAAGATCCCAAAGATCTCTTTCACTTGGATTTGGATGCAAATACTTAGCGGTATTTCGCCGTAACATTACAATAAAAAAAAATCAGGATACATTAAATATATCAAACAATATTGTTATGCAAACACATATACCCATAGTGACGGCATACATGAACAGACAATGTCAAAGAGGTTGAAACAGTGTGTTTGTAGAACCGCCTGGAAGTTATGAGGTTAAATTAGAATTCTTGACAATTTTTCTAGGTTGAGGAGAGAAGTTGCCTGAGATGTCACAAATCGTGTATTTTTCTAGTGCTATTGTATGTACAGAGAAAAAAAACAAAAAAAAGCCGGAAAAAAGAAAAAGACAAAACCGAGAAAATTAAAACAGAGAAACGGAGATAATTCGTTTGGGGAAAGAAATCTGAATGTTTCAAAGAATGTATTTGAATAATTGTTTTCATACTTCCATATATCAGCTAAAAGATTTTTTCAGGAAAAAAAGAGAACAAAAATAAATTCGGTAAATTCTAGAAAAACTAAACTTAAAACAAAAATAGAAGTATTATGCTTGAAAAGAGTTTATGTAGAATAAAAATACCATGATGAATGGAAGCGCAAAAAACAACATGCTGAGAAGGGATATGATCGTCGTGTTATGAAATTGCTTCTTGTTTTAACAAACCTGGCCGGAAGTAAAATGAACTTTGTGAAATTGTGAACAATTTAAACATGTGAACAGATTTCCGAGAGATATACCGCAACAAAACTCCATAGTAATACTTTAAACAAAAACATCGAAATCTTTTCAGAAAAAAAAAAAAAAACAATCCTGTACAATTGCTTCATGTTCGTGAAACCTGTACGAAAAAACAACAAAGCAAATTAAAATTGACAATACAACGAAATTATTTTCCTCAATCATCTAAACTCATAAACATAAACAACTTACGGTATATAATATATAAAATATATCTGATAAAACCCAAAAAAATGTGCCTAAGAATTCACCACACCATCTGGAAAAAGAACAAAACTCGGATTATACAGTTGATGATTTACAAAAGGAAAACAAAAAATTAAAAACAAAAAAAAATTGGTAGACATTTTTTAACTCTAGCACATCAACAATTCTTTCGAGATGACAAAATATATCTGAAAAACATTTGTCTTAAATTAGGACACAATATTCAGAGCAAACAAATTAATTTTGAAATGAAGAACTGTCAATAGCTTAAGACATTTCGGATAAAGAGATTGAGAGATAGGAGAGGCCGAAATTATATTCATTGTTCAATAGCATCCAACAATCCAGAAAGTAGCTTCAATATTCCGTCGCAGAGCAAAATAATTGGAATGGCAGAGCAAATGAAGTAAATTTGAAAGGAATAACTCATAATACCTTAATGAACAGACAAAAGAAGCGAAAATATATTTCCCAGCAATCTGTCTAGATAAAAAAAAAAATTGGTGATCCGATTTCCGGAGAGCAAAATAGCAGTTTCAACATAAAGTAGCTCAATTTAATAGTCTGTAGGAGATGAAGATGACATCGGTTTTTTTTTTTTTTTTTTTTCACAGATCGTGGGAAAGAAGAGCAGTTCCAAATTCTAAGGCAAATATTGGACATGGGGTGTATGAGAGACGGTTTATAAACCAAAAAACGAAATGTTAAGATGAAGGAAATAAAAACTGTCCAGAAAATCTGAATAATTAAAACTAATAACCGAGGACAAAAAAACTACCTAAATATAAATTACAATATTACACCTAAGTTTAGATTTAGGTTTTAGTTCAAAATATCTTCCTTTTATATGTAAGATGATTATTATTATTATTATTATTATTATTATTATTATTATTATTATTATTATTATGTAACTAAATTCACATAATACAAGGCTAATTAAGCTGAAGTGCGAAATACTTCACGTGCACCTACCCATCTTGTACGGATCTCATACATTACAATTGCAACGTCTATCTCTCTCTCTCTATGTAAAGTGTAAAGTGTAAACCAAACCTCCTCCCATATTTTCCCGCTAAACCGCAAATTACCTATTAAAATAAAAAGAAAAATACTTCATCTTATTATATAAATCGATCATTTTTATTTTTTATTATCAATTGTTGATTATATAAACATAATATATGTATGGTGGATCGATCAAACAAACCAATACGCGTACCTTCAAACACACACACACACACATACTTTGTTTAACACACGCACACGCACACGCACACGGAGAGAGAAAAATGAAAATGAAGGACACAACGTGAAAAGCGCAATAAGTTTGTTTTCATAAATATAGACACACATATTCGAAGCTTATAATTAATTAATGTTCTTTTATTAATTAATTAATGTTCTTTTCTCTCTAACTTAGCTTGTTGATTACCATCTACATGCATGTAGACACAGTATCAATCCAAATGTTTTAAACCCTAATTTAACTAGGGTTTTCGTAGATTGATACTGTGTTCATAAACCAATCAACTTATTCAATTCATGTAGCTTGGTCATCTTTATATACATATATAATATAATTGTTCTCCAAATTAAAATGGCGGCAGAAGGAGGAGGAGGAGGAGGAGGAGCCCAACCTTTGATCAACAAGGAAGAAGGATTATTTGGCGAGTCCAATAAGAAACTAATTATTCTCCCACAAAATAATAATAATAATAATAATAGTAGCAGATCAGGATCAGGAGGAGGCATTATTAGCATTGCCGAGAGAAGGGCTGCCAAATGTGGTTTCAATGCTTCCAACATTAACTCTGATCCCTCCCCAGTCCCCCCACATCCCCGCTCTCCGTTTTTCACTATGCCGTCCGGAATCAGCCCTTCTGCTTTGCTCGATTCTCCCGTCATGCTCCCCAATGCTCAGGCAATAACTCATTTCCGGCCTCTAATCATCATATATTCATTTTTATCATTTTTGCAATATTTTGATCATCATTGAGTAGTGATCATTTCTTAATTAACCCTTGTCTTTTTTTGTCATTAATTGGAAATATACATTATTACAACATACATAGGCCCAACTATCTCCAACTACTGGAGCATTCCAGTTTCCTTCTCCTAATCATGATCAGAGCTTCAAGCTCAAACTCCAAATTGCTACCAATGGCGATGAAACCATTGCAATCGATCACTCTTCTTCCAAACTCCATCCGGTATTTTTTTTTTGTTTTAATATAATTACTATATATATATATATATATATATAATGTCGTAGATCGATCATTAAAGTTGGCAGACATATATATGTGTGTGTGAGCAGGCATTATTTGATGAAGCGGAATACTCGAGGGGGGATGTGCAAGAAATGAGCAAAAGGGAATGTTTGGAGAACAAGGTTGCCAAAACTCAAGTGTTAGGACACAAATCGAATTCGTGCGTCAGGGAGGCGGCCGTGGTTAGCAATATTATTATTAATACTAGAAATAATAATGCTAACCAAATAATGTCAAAAATGAGTGGTAATAGTAATAGTGTCCAAGAATTAAGTGGAAGCACAGTAAACCATAATCCAAATCATCAAGAAAAAGTAAACAAGGGAGGAGGGGGTTTATCATCATCATCATCATATATTGTTGCTAATGAAATGCAGGCAAAGTATTCAGAAGATGGTTTCTTTTGGAGGAAATATGGTCAGAAACATGTCAAAGGTAGTGAATTTCCTAGAAGCTATTACAGATGTACCGATACAAACTGCGACGTCAAGAAAAAGGTCGAGTGCTCACAGGATGGACAGATCACTGAAATCGTTTACAAGGGTTCTCACAATCACCCCAAACCACACAACTCATCATGTAAGACGACGCTGTGCGTGCCCGCTCTTTATTAATATTATATTAGTACTGATCAAATCACAGATAATAATAATAATATTATTAAACCAGCCGGTGCGCCTGATCAAGGCGATGCCTTCATCCCCGATGATAATGGTGGGCCTCTGTCGTTTCACAATGATTTTAAGGATCCTCAACCAAGATTAATGGTGAGCATGTTAGACGAGGCCTTTGAGCCATCTATATTATGCATTCAAGATGGTGGTGGTGATGATGCTAATCAAAATGGGGCCAGCCCAGACAGCATATCCCTCAATGATGAAGATGATGATCAAAATGCTGAATGTGATCAGCCCAAGAAAAGGTACAACGACGACGACGTAACTCTACTTTTTATTCATTCATTCATTCATTCATTCATCGTTTTTCTAAATATATATATTTGTACGTACGTAGGAAAAGAGAGAGTGTCGTCCCGAATGAAACCGTTGTTCCAAGGTCTACACGGGAACCAAAAGTAGTTGTCCAAATAGAGAGTGATATCGATATTCTTGATGATGGATACAAGTGGAGAAAGTACGGACAAAAGGTTGTCAAAGGAAATCCAAACCCAAGGTATTATAGATTATACATATATATTTGTCTAACCTAGCTAGTCTGATAGATACTAAATGAAAATGAATAATTTTGAATGAATGCAGGAGCTATTATAAGTGCACAACTCCAAACTGTTCAGTGAGAAAGCACGTGGAAAGAGCTGCTGAGGATATAAAATCAGTAATTACAACGTACGAGGGGAAACATAACCATCACGTGCCTTGCACTACCAAAACAACCAACCATCCAAACTCCGATGCTGCTGCTGCTATTAATAATAATAATAATGATGCCCCAATCCCAAAATCAGGAAATAAAGTACATCTCCCATCATTGTTCAATATGGAAGCAAAGGCGAACTTGAATAATTACGGCAATGAAATGATGAATCCCAATCTGCCACCCCCTGCGCATGGAACTTCTTCTTCTTCCGTTTATCAGCCTGCAGTTTCGTTACATCCATACCATTCAATGCATTACAGCTCTTATATGAGGAACAGTAATTACGGCATTAATTACAGCTCTAAGTTGTGTCCAACTTATCCGGATTATATGCAACTGCACTACTCCCAAATGAACAATATTAATCATATTTCAGCACCTGGTACTAATCATCATCATCATCATCATCATCATCACCAGCAGCAGCAGCAGCATGTGCCTCTTGCTGCTACTAATTACTATCACAACAATAACTATCCAACAACGCAAACTCCGACTCGAGGGCAAGAACAAAGCAGAGATAATTTCCAATCCAACACTATGAAGCCCAAAGAGGAGCCAAACGGATAATCATGTATGATAATGTGCCTAATCATGGAAATGGAGCAATATATATATATATATATCCATTTGAATTAATGCTTGTTTTCTTTTTTAATTTTATCGCCAGCTAGCAGAATTTAGGGGCAGGGGTAGAATTTGTTTTAATTTGGCTGTGTAATGACCAGATCATGGTAATTAATTTGGTTTTGGCATGTCTTTCTCTATCTCTATCCCTCTCTTTTTTTCTTCGCATATATATATATATATATATATATATATATATATATATATATATATATATATATATATATATATATATATATATATATATATATATATATATATATATATATATATATATATATATATATATATATATATATATATATATATATATATATAAATATATATGATGGGTCCACACCCAAAGGCCCATATCTACAAGCCCATAGAGGCACACAATCCAGGGCCAAATCGACTAAAGATAATAAATAGTACAAGCCCAAGTTGGCTAAGGCCTAAACTGGCATGATCTAAACAGTTAGGCCCAAGTTGACCCGTATTAAGTGGCTTAGGCCCATGAGAATATATATCTCCATATAAATACCCGGAAACCTCACAATTAAAGGTACGCAATTCATAATTCCCGAGCAAGTCTCTTGAATTCTCTGAATTCTTCTATCATACAAAGCTGACTTGAGCGTCAGAGGATTTTCGTCGGGACCAATCCCGACGCCCTAACGACTTTTTGTGATGCAGGTAGTGCCCACGCGAGGAATCAAGAAGTGCGAGGGAATAATTGCAAAACGTGACGTGGAATCGTACCACAAGTTTTTTATGCACTGCAGCCATTCAACAATTGTCATATGTTTGCAGGTTGACACTTTTGAGTTATCCTTACTGAAGTCGTCGGCGTCCACAAAGCAGCCGCCGTCCAAGCCGACATTATGCACTATAGCTACCAGCCGATGCAGCCTGAAAATGTCACCTTAGAACCGAGAAATTTGTGGAGTCCCTTTGATGCATGCACTCTAACCCTTGTCGACTCCTCATAGAGCGATTCTTTATGCACTACAACCATTCTATAATTTATCAGCTATTTGCAGGTTGACATCTTTTGACTTGTCATTACTCAAAACGCGATGCACAAAGCAACCTCCGTCCAAGCCGACACTTTGAACCATTTATACCCGTTAATGCGGCCTAAAAACGCCACCTTGAAATGTCATCACCAATGGCGGCATTTTTTGAGTTGTCATCTCCCGATGCGGTATTGTTTGAACTGCCGTCATCCAACCTTTGAATCAGCCGTTTCACGAGCCACCACCATGCGAAGCACCATCTCGAAATTATGATATATGGTTACATCTCTTTGCAGGTTACCTTTTGACATGTCATTATCAAAACGCGATGAACAAAGCAACCGCCGTCCAAGCCGGCACTATGCACCGTTTCTACCCGCCAATACGGCCCAAAAACGCCACTTTGGCACACAAGCCACCACCTTGTGAAGCACCATCTCAAAATTATGATATATGGTTACATCTCTTTGCAGGTTGACACCTTTTGAAATTTCATCACCATTGACATCATTTTTTGAGTTGTCGTCTCCCCATGCGGTATCGTTTGAATTGCAGTCACCCAATCTTGGAAGCAGCCGTTTTACGAGCAACCACCTCACGAATCATCATTTCGAAATTGTGATATATGATTACATCTCTATGCAGGTTGACACCTTTTGAAATCTTATCACCATTGACAACATTTTTTGAGTTGTCCTTAAACGAGCCGAGCCGACTCGTGAGCTCGAAGAGCCGGCTCGTAAAAAGCTCGAACTCGGACTCGCGATTTTCGAGCTCGAGCTCGAACTCGCGAGCTTGAGCTTTCTGACGAGCCGAGCTCGAGCCGGTTTTTAGTTGTTCATGAGCTCGCGAGCCGGCTCGCGAGCCGGATTTATTATTATTATATTATTTTTATTTTTATTTTTATATGTTATTTTTATTTAAATAATGTATAATAATGTAAAATATTATAGAAATAAATACAAATATTAAAAATATATATAATTACAATTTAGTTTTAATTTTTTATTTTTTTAAATAATTTTTAATAATAAAATAATAATTAAAAAATATTAAAAAAAAAAAGACAATGGGCTCGAGCTCGAGCTCGAGCTCGAGCTCGAGCCAAAAAAAGAGGAGCTCGAGCTCGAGCCAGCCAAAAGAGGCGAGCTCGGCTCGAGCTCGGCTCGTTTACACCCCTAGTTGTCCTCTCCCCATGCGGTATCGTTTGAATCGCCATCACCCAACCTTGGAGGCAGCCGTTTTACGAGCAACCACCTCATGAAGCACCATCTTGAAATTATGATATTTGGTTACATTTCTTTGCAGGTTCACACCTTTCGAAATGTCATCACTCATGGCGGCATTTTTTAATTTGTCATCTCCCCATGGGGTATTATTTGAACTGTCGTCACCCAAGCTGGTACTTTTTGAATCATCTTCATCCAACACCTTTGTCATCACCCAAGATGACATCTTTTAAACAACCGTCACCCAAGGTGGAAATATTTTAATTACCATACCTAAGGCGGCATCCTTTGAGTTCTCATATTCAAGACCGGACGCAAAATCGACAAGCCTTGTATCTGCACCCACAAACCGCCACTATGTGAAGACAAAAAGCCGTTACCTTCCACTTTGCAGTATCCATCAAAGATGGCACCTTGTGGGCGAAATAAATAACGTCACGAAACTCACCAACTCATAAATAATCATATTGCAGGTTGCATCCCCCAAATTCGCCACCTCGCAATTGACAACTTCCATACAAGTCGACGTCTATGGTAACCACAACTAATCTTTTCAAAACGGCATACCTTGAGCGCTCTCATTCTAAGACGTCACATGTGATTAGTTGTCATCTTCAAAGATAGTATGACCATCTCCTTCCAAGACGACACATCTTGAGCCGTCTTGAGCTGTCTTGCCGGTGATATATATATGCCTCGAACCATTAGTGTACGTACTCAAACACCCTCTAAGAATAATATAAAGATTACCCAAAACTAAACCCCCTTTTATGGATACATTTGTAATTTATTGGCAATCATATCTTTGCTTAAAGATTAACAAACAAATCATATCTTGGTTTGCACTATTTCCTTCCCATTTTATCTTTTCGTTTGAGAAAATTTGTTTTGTTTCAAACTGAGTCGTTACTTTAGAATTTCTATGAGACATTTAATGTACTTTTATCAAACTTACCCTTAAGAGAATTAGTGGTGCAACAATTAATGAGACAGTTTTGTAGTCTTAGAATTCTTTTAGAATTCATGTACATTTTTTTAATACATGCGCATTAGTCCAAAACAACAAATAAAATTGCAAGGAGAGAGTAGTTGTTTAAGGATAAGTTTGCCCTTTACTTATTTTTAATCACTATTTACAAAACTTAAAGAAAATAATAACATTTAATTTTGGACTTGGACTTTTATTGTATCGATCCCAATTCATTTGATCCAACTACGAAAACAAATTGTTATAAATGATTCAATGATGAATTATGTGCATATTTTTTAAATTCCATCAGGAAAATCGGAGGTCGGAATTCCAAAAATTGAAATAATTTATTTTATTCCGAAATTAGAAAATAAAATAAAATTATAATTGTTGAAAATTAAAATGAATACTTAGAAGAAAAGAGTGGTAAAATCGTGAAAGTTAAAAAATAAATAACCCAGAAAGCGGCTTTAAATAGAATAAAAACTGAAGAACAGACAGATGCAGATCTGATTACTAATTCACTCCCTCATTCGCTACTGCTCTCCCTCTGGAAATCGGGGCCATATCTAAATTTATTCATACAAAAATACTCAATTCCGGATCGCCGATCTCTACTCTTTTTTTCGGTAACGTTCTTGCCTTCTCATCTTTTCATTTAATTTTCTCTTTCCGATTTTTTTGTTGCGTTTGATGTAGATCTGAATTGCCTTGTGCCTATCTTCTCTTTCTGATGTATTCACGCATCTCATAATTTCTCTGTTAATTCTTAGGTGAACACTGATTTGTCGAGTTTAATTTCAAATATTTGAAATGTCGATTTTAATTACAATTAGTTGGTCGGATTTATCTTTCCTATGAGCTTAAATTAATGGATCTGGTGTGATTACTGATTAGGACGATTATTTTGTTTTTGCACTGTTGTTGTTCATCAGTTTAATGGGTGAAGGGTGTGGGAAGATGCTGGTAATACATTTAGGTTGCTATGGGTTGTGCATCTCTCTGGATTCTGTTAATTTAACATTGTTAACCTAATCATTTCTGATCTGCTTTGGTGTCCTTACAGAATGAATACATGAGTTAACCATAGCTCGCGAATTGTTTGAGTTGTTAGTTTGTTCTCACTTATTTCATGTGTTAATAAATATATTTGAGAAACTCACTTATGGGTTTCTTCGTCTCTTAGATCTTTACTGTACTGAACAGGAGGGATACAATTAAAATTTATACTCATACCAGAAATATTTGTATGCCATGCGTAAATCAGATACCAAGATTTATTTAAACATTGGATAATCACAAGAGAAACAACCGTTCTAATTTTGTACCTTGTTTCAATATTGTTAGTCTTATGTAGCATAGTATTATGTAGATTGATATGGCTGAATAAATAAGTGGCTGATTTGTATTGATTTCCAAAAGTTATGTGTTATGTTAAATCTTGTTTAAAGTTATTGTTCTGTATTTGTAAATTATTTGAGTCCAATATGACCAGATAACAGGTGGAAAATGGAGAAATCATGTTCTTTGCTGGTACATTTTGATAAGGGCACACCAGCCCTTGCCAATGAGATCAAGGAGGCACTTGAAGGGAATGACATTCCTGCTAAGATTGATGCCATGAAAAATGCAATCATGCTTTTGTTAAATGGCGAAACCCTGCCTCAGCTCTTCATCACTATTGTTAGATACGTGTTACCCTCTGAGGATCACACTGTTCAGAAACTACTATTGCTATACTTGGAGATCATTGACAAGACTGATGGAAAGGGGCGTGTTTTACCCGAAATGATCTTAATCTGCCAGAATCTGAGAAATAATCTTCAGCATCCTAATGAATACATTCGCGGTGTCACCCTAAGGTTCCTTTGTCGGCTGAATGAGGTGGAGATTATAGAACCTTTAATCCCCTCCATTATGTCAAACTTGGAGCATCGACACCCTTATATTAGGAGAAATGCAATTCTTGCTGTGATGTCAATTTACAAGCTCCCGCAAGGCGAACAGCTCTTGGTTGATGCACCAGAGACGATTGAGAAGTTCCTCTCGACAGAGCAGGATGCTTCAGCTAAGAGAAATGCATTCCTGATGCTTTTCAATTGTGCGCAGGACCGTGCTGTTAATTACCTTTTGACCAACGTTGATAGAGTATCAGACTGGGGGGAACTACTTCAGATGGTTGTCTTAGAGCTGATCCGAAAAGTTTGTCGCACGAACAAAGCTGAAAAAGGAAAATATATTAAGATTATTATATCTTTACTGAATGCCCCTTCAGCTGCCGTTGTCTATGCACGTCCTGGAACCCTTGTTTCTCTCTCTTCTGCTCCAACAGCTATTAGAGCTGCGGCCAACACATATTGCCAGCTT